GAGGGGAGGAGGGGCGAGAGGTGTAGAGGGAAGAAAGAGAGGTGTAAGATTGTCAGAGGGGGACTGAACGGGAGAACAGATTGAGGATGGGGAAAGACACGAGAGGAAGAAAATCAGGGACGTTCCGCACCCGGCCGAATTGGCAATGGGCAAAAGGTGGAAAGTGGGACGGTTGTTGGGTTAGATTTTTATGCACCGGCGGCGGGGCCCGAGCAGGAACTGGGCATAATGTTTGTCCACTACACTACTCCACCAACGCCACTCACTGCTTGTAAAATTCACTCATCGGCAGTCGGCAAAGGACTAGAGACGACTCGAGCGATTCTAGAAGTGTGCAGTGGTTGGGAAGGGGAAGGACTAAGGGTTAGAGAACCAATTGACCGCAACGCTATGCAAGCAGAGTTTGCGGGGTAGGAAATTATCACATTAGGAGTTGGTTAGTTGGTGATTTGCTGGTTGGTCGGAGGATGTCAAACCCCTACGGAAATGAGCAGCTGATCAATTGTAGCCAAGCTTTTTAGCTGTCTGGCGGGGGAGAGACAATTGATGGTGTTGGGATTTAGATAGTTCTGACTGCACCTACACTGTTGACATACCATGCAGATTGACTGATTGATTGCAGATCATCCCATTCTTCATGCTGCTTTCCCTCGTGGCTGTTGGCACGTGACTATTCCTGATTTCACATTCTTCATGTATTGGGGGGATATTGGCCCGTCCTTGGGATTTTTCGCTCGAACTATGATGCGGCAGGTGGACTGGTTCTACTGTAGGAGATGAGAATCACACTCTCATCCCAATCACCCATTCCAAGATTTGGTGTCACAGCTTGTCCCTCCGTATCTGACAGTCCTGTCATCAACAAATGATCTCCTGCAGGCATGTGCTCGTGTCTTGGCTCCCGGGCTAAGTAGTGGTCAAGATATTGGTGGCCTGTTCGAAAGATGCCAGGACACTCGCATAGTTCGCACCCTCTGTTGAAATTTAGCCACAAGCATTGACGGTGGCCAACAACAAGATGCGGGATTGAACACAAATGCATTATCGATGGATCATTATGGCTCCTGATTGCGACAAGCAGTATAGAGACTGAGCAAACTTCAAGACCCAAAGCACAATGCGTTGTCGACAGGGCTGACCCTTGGTTCTTCGTGCCGTTCGGCTGGAAATCCGTATCAAAGAAGCGAAGGGCCAGATATCAGATAGGTCATAAGTCAACCATGACGTAAACCGGCGATTGCTGTCTCGCCTTTCCAGTGTCCATGTGCCATCAATTCTCCATGCATCCTGTGAGAGGCGGGCCAATTCAGATTGACCATTGAGCTCCGTGCTTGTTGCCGCAATAACAATCTACGTGACACGGCGGGCCACCCAATCATGCCTGGACAACAGCCGATCAGCACGCCACTGTCATAATCCCTCGAAGCCTATTTCATCATCTCTCCTCTCATGGCCCTTGGTCTTGCTCAGGGCCCTTCTATCACCTAGCATGGCCGAGCACTTGGAGTGAGAGGGTGCTGGTGACCAGTGCTTCATGTTTCCACGGGGCAATGATATCATCGCTGCACAACGCGGCCCGTGGCGAGATCACTGGGATACTGCCCACCACCATGCCCTATAAAAGAATGCTTCAGAGCTGTGTCAATGGCTTATTCCCTACATTCCAACTCCCGGACCACAATAATCAGACTACTCATCAGTCGCTGTCAATAATAAATCTTACCGACCACATAACATCCCTCCTACACACATCATGTCGTCCGGAGAAGACAACAACAACAACGGTACGTATCATCTATCCCTCATTTTTGCTTTATCAGGATAGTTTCGGCCCTACCCACTTCGAAGGAAGTGATAGTGCTTCCTTTGGATCTCTTTTGTGGCAGATCTGCCGCCCACTGGTTGCTAATCTTGGCTAACTAGTCAACCTCTTGCAAGGGCTGACAGACACCCTTGGCAAGACTGTCGGAGGCCTCACTGATACGGTCGGCGGTCTTGTCGGCGGCGTGGGCCAGACGGTCGGCGGAGCTACTCAGGGTCTGGGGAAGACTGTGGGTGGCGTGGGCGAGGGCTTGGGCAAGACAGTCGGAGGAGCCAGTGAGGGTGTGGGAAACACGACCAAGGGTCTTGGACAGTCGACCAGTGACGTTCTGAGCAGCATCAATGGCGACCGGTCTGGCGACAACGCGCGGAGATGGTAAACCTGAGATGCGAGGTGTTTGGATGCCGATATGATATGATATGATCTGATGAACAGTCCTTACCTTCTGATGCGCTCGACCTCGACTATTCTTGAGTTCATGTCGATTCCTGTATTAGTATGAAGTTTTCAATTTCATGAGCCTTGATTCGAAACTTCTTGGTATGACTTCTCGATACTCCGTAATTCGACTCCTAAGAACTCCAAATACGCATCACGGGGGGAAAGAATAGATGTAGAGTAGGTGCAAGCGAGACCTGTCCGGAAGTGATTCCGAGATCGGGAATAGAAATCCATTGCGGGCGCGTCCTGGGGAACTTCCGCCTTCGGAAAACGGAGGTTTCCGCAGGGGAATCGCCCGCCAGCAGACTGGACGTCGCCGTTCGGCTGAATTGCTGCTTCCAAACAAGTCTGAAAGGTCCTTCCGATGAGATTGTGGCCTTCTGAGGTTCATTTAGTGGAGACCATTTCATCAAAAGATGGGTGGAGGTGGCCCGTAGTTGACGTGCGCTTAGAACATTAGAACCCCAGCTTCCATCCAGTCTCCATAACAACAATCCAAAGCGCAATCGCCAATTTATCAGATTCCGAGTGGATCAGATACTGGGGCAGCGCTGGTTCCGTTCCCCGGTGGGGGATTCCGATGGCTTCAAGGCTCGCAATATGCGTATGCTGTTGTACAGTAAATCACTGTTATCGTAACCATTGTACGGACATGCAATGCTTATTACCCAGTCAGCATTTTCACCAATTCCTTTATCGCAACCGATTGGATCGCATGCAACAACCACATTAGGTAACGGCATCAGAGACGTTTGGTAATGATCGTCTTGCCTATGAATCATGGCGATGTATCCATTCATAATGGCTGAAGCTGCCTCTCTACCCCAATTGGGTACGGCTTGCGCGCATTATTGAGTTATTTACCCGTAGTCGTTAGGCAAGTTGGCTGTATGAGGCAGATTATCGACTCGGTGGATGGTCTAGACAGGAGGGCATGCAGGACTCGCAGTCTGGCCTGGTCCACTGACTAAGAACATGGGCGCATCGTCTAACGCAATGGACTCCCTGAGCCCCGTCATCATGCCATGGGGACCATCCGGCTCGGTACCTCCACAAATACTCGAAAAGACTCAGTAGACGTTGGAAAACGGCCATTGATGTGATCTGCACCGAGTTATGGCAAGAGAATAGAGGTAAAAAATCAAGGGGTGATGATTGGCTCTGGATTGAGGGGAAAGAGGGGACACAAAGATCGGAGAAGTTGGGGAAAGGCACGGTGGGTGCGGGGTAATTGGCGTTCATGATAGTATGGGGTGAGAAGTTGGATTATATTGTTGGAGACATGTCTGGAGATGACAATTGAGATGCTTTGAAGCTTGTAGCTGAAGGAACTACTGGAGTTGGAGACTGAGATCCATCATGAATGTCACTCTCTGTCAATCAATGATAATGCAAGTAGGCTTAGTCTCTCTCCGCGGAAAGACCTTCTGTTTTTCCAAGTTGACCTCGGCGCCGGGAAAGAAGATTGGCAAGTGGACCCCAACAGCAACCTGTTGACCTTCTCCCCAAGCTTCATTGGTCTCCGGCCTCATTCCTCTTCGTCGTCGGCTCCAGCCAAGGTCAAGCTCTGTTCGATGTGATAGAGAGAGAAAGAGAGGGCCCGAGAGAGGGAGGTTCCTGGATTCAGATCCCGCCCTCCTGATCCCAGCGTTTTCCTTTCGGAAAATTCATATATTTACTACCTACCCCAACCTCTCTCCCCCCTTCCTTTATCAAACCCGCTGTTCCTAAACATAGCTCTTCTCAGTTTGTATTCCGTGTTGTCCTTTTATCTCCCCATTAGGACTATAGGCCCCTTCTTTGTCATTACTGTAGCTTCTTCTGCCACAACATCCCCCACCATCCATCATGGGTAAAGAAAACGAGCCTAGTATGTTCACTTCCTGCCCCATCAAACCACCAGACGTGACTTATGGTCAGAAATCAAACTGGAACTAACCATTGACTTCTATCTTCAGAGACCTACCGCTACAATGAGACCCCAGTCTACACTACCTCCAATGGCTGTCCAGTTCGTGCACCCTCGCCTCCCTCTCAATCGATCTTGCTTCGTCGAATTTGCCATGGCTAACATTTCTTCTCCAGGTCATGGATCCCCAGGCCGCTCAACGAGTTGGTCGCAACGGTCCTCTGCTCCTCCAGGACTTCCACTTGATCGACCTCCTTTCCCATTTTGACAGAGAACGCATTCCGGAGCGGGTGGTTCACGCCAAGGGTGCTGGCGCCTACGGCGAGTTTGAGGTTACCGATGATATCAGCGACATCACGGTCATTGATATGCTGAAGGGTCTGGGCAAGAAGACGAAGTGCTTCACTCGCTTTTCCACCGTCGGAGGCGAGAAGGGCTCGCCCGACAGCGCTCGTGATCCTCGCGGTTTCGCCATAAAGTTCTACACCGATGAGGGTAACTGGGACTGGGTCTTCAACAACACCCCTGTGTTCTTCCTTCGCGATCCCGCCAAGTTCCCCATCTTCATCCACACCCAGAAACGCAACCCTCAAACCAACCTCAAGGATGCTACCATGTTCTGGGACTACCTGTCCACCCACCACGAGGCCGTCCACCAAGTCATGCATCTCTTCAGTGACCGCGGTACTCCTTACTCCTACCGCCACATGAACGGCTACTCTGGCCACACCTACAAGTGGATTAAGCCTGACGGTACTTTTAACTACGTCCAGATTCACCTGAAGACCGACCAGGGCAACAAGACTTTTAACAATGAGCAGGCCACTCATTTGGCCGCTGAGAACCCGGACTGGCACACTCAGGACCTGTTCGACTCCATTCAGCGTGGCGAGAACCCCTCCTGGACTTGCTACGTCCAGGTCCTGAGCCCCGAGCAAGCTGAGAAGTTCCGCTGGAACGTCTTTGATCTGACCAAGGTCTGGCCACAGAGCGAAGTGCCCCTGCGCCGCTTCGGCAAGTTCACTCTGAACAAGAACCCCGAGAACTACTTCGCCGAGGTTGAGCAGGCCGCTTTCTCTCCTTCGCACATGGTTCCCGGTGTCGAGCCCTCGGCCGACCCCGTTCTCCAATCCCGCCTCTTCTCCTACCCCGACACCCACCGCCACCGTCTGGGCGGCAACTACGAGCAAATCCCCGTCAACTGCCCGCTCCGGGCCTTCAGCCCTTGGCAGCGCGACGGCTACATGAACGTCAACGGCAACTACGGCGCCAACCCTAACTACCCCTCTACCTTCCGCCCCTATCGCTACCAGCCCGTCAAGGCCAGCCAGGAGCACGAGAAGTGGACGGGCTCGATCGTCACGGAGCAGCTCCCCATCACTGACGACGATTACGCCCAGGCAAACGGCCTCTGGCAGGTCCTCGGCCGCCAGCCCGGTCAGCAAGACAACTTTGTCCACAACGTCGCTTCCCATCTCTCGGCCGCCCACGAGCGCGTTCGCCAGGCCACCTATGCCATGTTCAAGAAGGTCAACCCCGACCTCGGTGCCCGCATCGAGAAGTCGACCGAGGCCAAGGCCGCTGGCGTCAAGTCTGCTCGTCTGTAAATCAAAATTTGCTCTCTTTTAGCCTTGATCACTGCCCCAGCAAAAGAGCCTTCGAAAGTCGCCCACTTCATTTAGCGATGATGCAGCCTGTGTTCTCTTTCCTCTGTAAATGTGACAGAAACACCCTCACGAAGTTCCTCGATCTAAAATGATACCTTTCACAATTCTCTTTATGCTTCGCGCCTCGCGTTCATCTCATGAGTGTCAGTGGATACGTAGTTCTCCAGCAGTCTTATGTGTTGAGGTTCCAGGTTAGTGTCGCGGTTCCTGGGTAGTACCAGTGACGGACAAGATGCAATTCGAATGATCTCTCAAGATATCGCGCGTATATAGATGTATGTATATATGACTGTGGTATGGTGTGGTTCCCAGAAAAATGCCCAGAAACAGCACGCGCACAAGGATAAAGGACACGTAAGCTCGTAAGCCAAGAAGCGTTATTCCAGAAAGTGAATGCGATTGTGCCCAAGTAAAGACAAGTGACAAACACTGCCGTTTCCAGACCCTAGCGAATAGATATTTGTCAACAGAATGTGAAGGGTTAACCAAGAAGACCCAGAAACGAAATGCTCAAACAAACCCAGAAAAACAAAATCAAAATACTAGTTGCACATGTTGCGCCCGCTCAGAAGTACAAGTCGACGGCCCCACGAGAGGGATAGTCTTGGATGCGATGATAGTCAAAACAGATCAGAATTCTAGATTTGGAGGGGAGTAATGCGGTGGTGGAACGGAGCCGCGAGGGTGAGTTGAGGACGGAGAGATGCTGGATGGATGCCGCCTCTAGGAAGGTAGAGTCGGGGCAGGGGTGATCAGGTGTTCGTGGGGAGTCGGAGCGTCCCAGCAACCCCAGAAGAAGCCGGGCTTGCCACATTTGGAGGTCGTGTCGGGAGGCGGCGTTCTGGAGGCTGTGGCTGTGGCGGTTCTCGTAGAGGTGGGATCGCGACAGCCAAACCAGCCGGGATGCTTGCACGTGGTGGTCGGTGAAATGGGCTCGGTGGTAGTGATGGTTGGTGCGCTGGTCGCGTCTGAAGTAGTGGTCGGATCCTTACAGCCGAACCAGCCTGGAGTCTTGCAGGTTGATGTAGATGTCGAAGTGGTCGTCGATGGTGGCTCCGTTGTAGTGGTCTCGTCCAAACAACCCCACCATCCTGGGGTCTTGCAGGTCGATGTGCGGGTACTGGAGAAGGAAGTCGACGTGGACGTGGCCGTAGTCGTCGTGGTGGTAATCTCGGAGCCGTTACTGCGGAAGAACTTCCAGAGTTCGCAATCATAGCATTCTTCCTCAGGGGCGCAAGGCGGCAAATCGTCATAGTCCTCAAGAACATTGGAGATGATGAATTGAATGCGGTGTCTGGTCATCCCGACACGCCAGCCTTTGTCTTCCACGGTGTCATAGACACACATCTGGCCCGTATGACATGCAGACTCCATGGCATAACCACCCCACGTGCATACAGAACTAACGCCATTGCAGGTACCCATGTACACAGGGTCTGCAGTGTGGCCGAAGTGGTAGGACCCGGTGAACTTGCGCGACTGAGGGAATCGTGAATCATGACCTGGAGGGCTGGGAAGACCAAGGCGAGCGGCAGGTAGGGCTTCTGGCACGGCCTCAAAAGTGACTGCTGGTACGCCGACCGTCAGCCCTAGTAAGCTGGCCACGGCGCCACCCAAAGAATGGCCTGCTAGCCATATGTTGGCATCTGGGTACATGTCGATCACGTTTGAGTAAAGGTCCAGCGAAGCACGGTAGTATCGATTTTCGTCCTGCATTGCCTCGACGATGCACGTAAGATTGGCCGTATACAACGACGTCTGGCAGTCGCACACCTGGCGCCAGAGATATGAGCCTCCCTGCCCACAACAGCAGCTGAACATAAGATTATCGTTGAGCTTATCATTTGTGGTGGTACCCTCTCCGTCGAATACCGCTGGCGATGTGCCTTTGATAGAAATGACGACAGTACTGTTTGTCTGGTCGGCGTAGACATGCCCTCGCAGCCCGTCACCCTGCCACCCAAAACTCCCGGAATGATTGAAGCGACCATGTATATCTTGCCATTCACCCGTACCTGGCTCTTCGATATAATCGTTTGCGGTCATCTTTGCCATCGTAATAACTGTATTTTTATCTGTAACGTTGGGACCGGCCAGCGTATCCATGATCCAGGCATCTGGCGACAAAGCCACCGCCGATCCCGAGGACCTGGCGGCTAATAGATAATCATCGATAACTGAAAGACGTCGATCTGCGAGCCGTTGGATGGTGAGTGGCTCGGAAGTTGCAAGCAGCGGAATATTGACGGCGACAGGTTCGGATTCAAGGCCATCCTCTGAGACGGCCCGAAGACGGGTCTCAGGCTGGATGTCCAGCCTTAGGTGGAGATTGGAATCTTGATACGTCCCTCGATGGAATAAGTGGCGAAGTGTCTATTTGATCAGTGGCCGTACGACAGAGACAGGATTGCAGCACAGATCTGTCCGACTCACAAATTCATGGGTCCCGGATAGCGATGGTGAATCCGCTAAAGGAATCTGAGGAGGAAGAAAGGGCGACTGTTCTCGGGAGCCGAAGTATACGGGCTGATAAGCGGAGACAAGGCCTGGGAGCAGTGATACAGGCCAGAAAAGATCCGAGATCTTGGTGTCCCAGAGGGAACGTTTTCTTGATCGTCCTCGATAGCTGTTCATGGCGATATGCGGGGGGGTGGGGGGGGGGAAGAAAAGAGGATATGGGGGGATCGCAGGGATAGATGCTTGGAGAGGCGAGAGAGTGATCCAAGTCGGAGATGGCGATCTACTATTCCGCGGTAACGGGACCTACTCAGGCTGACCTACTGACCTGACCCGACCTGACCTGACTTGATCAATGGGGAGGCGGTGAATGACGCATTGATGCGGAGGTCCTCACTGCCCGCCCACGTGATCTGCGCGTGATCCGCTCCCCCTCTCCAAGGCGGAAGTTGTTGACAATTCCCGGCCTGGTGATTCACTTCCTATACTACACATAGAGTGCTGACTGACGGGCAGGCCGATCTCCATGGTACTCCTGCGCCGCTGTGGCTTGCTGTCTTCCATCATGCTTGTGCGCGTGCTCTTCTCTTAAACTCGATTGATCTCCTTTCATCTTGATTTTCTTGTCGTGTTTCTATCCCACTTGGGGATTTCCAGCTGTCATCTAGTCGAACGCACTGGCCCCATACATACCTCGATCTGCATATGCCTATCACCTGGACGTGAAGGCCCCATCACTTGACTTAATATCACTTTCGAAGGTTTGACTGCAGGAACTATGTCAGTCAACACTCCCGATCATGGCGTTGGAAAACCACGCCTCCACACTGCGCGCTCGTTCCCTCGAATGGATTCCTCTGAGCCCGGCCCTTTCATCCGCTCCAGAGCCAAGACCGTTCAGTCGGTGGCAATACCAGAACTGGTAGACTCGGAATCGCTTCCTTTGCCTCTATCATCAGCAGAAGATGAGCAGGATTCCGGTCCAGACCTGTTTGAAAAGACAGGCTCCCCAGACTTGACACACCACGACGACGGGCAAGGGGAGGAAACATCGGTTCTCTCGCGAGGCATGCAAAACCACACGGAAGAGCTCCCAATCGAGCTGATCAGTCTTACCGATAGGTACAATTCTGTGCTGGGCTTCCATAAGTCCTGTCCAGCATAATTGCTAACATTTGGATGTTATGCAGATTCGTCAACTCTCTCACTGCAAAAGTTCACTCGTCTCCGCCAACGGCCGACAGGGTTTCGGATCGCTTCCAAGAATTCTACGAACGGGCCGAAGCACATATTGCAACCCACATATCAGCTCTTGCGTCGCGCATAAATCGTGATCCGTCGCCGTACGGCAGCAGAGGGAACTCGAACACTCAGGGCTCGGATGGCCGGCAGATGTTGACTGCCTCAGAAGTGACGGAAAAGAGGATCGCTCGGAAGCATCTGGCGTCCAAGCGCATTGCTCTGGAGGAGGCTGTTGAGCGGAGGGCTTGCGAGAGCATCTATGACAAGTTATGGAGGCATAAAAGCACCCTGGATGAAATCAGGGACGAAAAGTTGCGCTCAAAGACGGCGGCGCTTCTCCTGGTTGGCATAAACCTGAAAGATCTTGGGATAGAGCTCGATGTAAGCTCTATCAGTGAGGAGAAGCAGAAAGAGGCCGATGACTGTCTTTCGATCGCCCGTGATTGCCTAGCAAAGATGAATGATGAGAAATATCCATTGGGCAAGCTTCAACAACTGGCCGCCGCGCACAAGGCCATAGTTGATGCTCTGACCAAATTACTGCCGTCATCATCGTCTGCTGATGAGATTCTACCTACTTTGATCTACTGTCTCATTACCAGTCCTCCCGAAGGGATGAACGTCATAAGCAATCTGCTCTTCATACAACGATTCAGATCATCCAGTAAGATGGATGGTGAGACCGCTTACTGTTTGACAAACCTTGAGGCCGCTATCAGTTTCCTCGAGAATGTTGATCTGTCTGATCTCCGCGGAGGAGCGCTGCATGAAGAGCAGACAAAACCCTCGAGTGATGATTCGACGACAGTCGCGAAGACTGACTCCCCTCAGCCTACCAAGGATACACCAGTTTCATCGGTCACATCAGCGACTGCCTCACCCGAACTATCAAGGCCAACTGGACCAGGGGCATCGGCCACATTTCCAAGAACACAGTCTACGAGAAATACTCAGCAAGGCCGGCTGAATAACCTATTCCAGCCTCCCGTGAAGGTACTCGGTGCTGCGAACGACGCAGTCCGTAGCACCGCAGACCAGGGCTTGAAAAATATAGGTGCATCCTTGGACAGCAGCTTCAACTTCCTTTTTGGTCGTTTGAAAGAATTACAAACTACTCAATTTGCTACCAAAGACGGAGGAACCCCAGTTGTGCCAAAGACACTAGCAGAAGCTCGACGTCTGGTTACATCGCCGATTGCGTCTGAGAGCAGTCTGAACCCTGATACTAATGCAGCCCGCGAGCCTCGTGCCACGGATCGACCGCAACTGCGGCGAATCGGCTCCAAAGCAGAAGATACTCTCTTAGGGTTGGTTGGTGGTCAGAGAACGCCTCGCGATAGAAGTGCGGACAGCGTTCGGACGCAGGGTAGCGCCCGGAAGACGGCCGGCTCTTCAGGTTTGCAGAAGGATGAGTCTCAGGCATCGCCTGCAATGTCTTCGGCAACGTCGACACCTACGCCCCTCGAATCCATGCGGAGCTTTGGGAACACGCTCAACCCACTTAATCATATTCCCGGCATGATCAGAAGCTTCAGCCGTGCTGCTCCGGAAACGCCGAGCACCACCTTTTCGTCCCCCAACACCCCGACCGAGAGAATCCGGCAATCGATCGTCTCCCGCGATTCTTCATCCTCCATCCACAGTACCTCATCCAAAACTGATCCGAAGCCCGAGCAGCCCAAAGTTGACCCGCCTATCCAACGCTTCATCCAGATGCAGAACGCCAGCGAAATGACTATCGCAGACGTGTCTACCCTTCTTGAGGATTACAAGCGGCTGGCTGCAGCGTTATCGAAACAGACCTCGAACTGACGTCAATGCTGTCGGCGCAGCTACAACATTCATTTAGAACATTTCTTTTTCTCTTATATTGATTCCGTGTATTATCATCTCCATGGCGTGGGACGTAGTTAGCCTTTGACGTTCCTTTGTGATCGGTTGGTTCTCTGTGAGATTGTGGGATCACTGCTGGCGTTCAGTGTCCCAAAACCAAGCATGTTGCATTTTCCAGCCAGTTGGGCATATCACCAAGCTTTTTGTCTAGCATTTTCTAGGACCAACAATGCGAACCTTCTTTGTCTGGAACAGTGTCTATCACGTAGAAAGGGGGTATATTGATACTTTGTAGAGTGCTGATAAAGAGAAAGAAACACGAAAAAAATGCCATGAACCCCACCGAAGCACGTCAGCGTTAGTATGCCCCATCCAGGGAAATCAAGCAATAAAGACTAAATAAAGCCTGCTGCAAAGTGCAAATTTGAGCCACCTCTCTTCCGCAATCACATAAACATGAATGAGCACGCTCATTCACTCACTCACTACCTTCCCTACCTACTCAGCAACTCTCACTGAGGGGTCCGCCCACGAAGAACCTCCGCCCCACCACTTTTCATATCCTTGAGCTTCTGGGACAACTCGGCGGATTGCTCCTCGACCAGCACGTGCCGTCTCCGGATCTCCGCCTCGAAGACGGCGGCGGTCTGCCGGCGCGCGCGCCGCAGATCCTTCATTTTCGTCAACGTTGCGGAGAACTGGTCGATGAGGAGGTCGCCGTAGTCTTCCCAGGCGTCCATAGTCAGACCGGAGAAGAACTCCCGGCGGTCCGTGTCGGAGAGACCCAACAGGTGCGACATCTTCTCCTCGGGTTTCGTGTCTGGTCCGGGGGGCGCGATGCTTGGGGTTGTTGAGGACACTGGGGGAGGAGGCGTGGTTTTTGTTTCTGCGGCGGGGGCGGCAGCTGAGGCGGCGGAGTTGGGGATGTAGTCGAAGGGTTCGGATTGGAGGTCAGCCAAAGACTTTTGGCGGAGGACTTCGGGAGGGTAGTCGGGATCAAGCTGGCGCTTTTTAGAAGGGTGGTCTTCTTCGTGTTCGGGGTTGGAGCCATTGTCTGGGCTGATGCGCTGGACAGATAGGCGGCGGGAGAAGGGGTCATTGATGGGGTCGTGCTCGTGGTCGTGCTCGTGGTCGTGCTCGTCTTGGTTATGGTCGTCATTATCATCGTGGTCGTTGTCCAGGTCATCGATATTGGTGATGTCGAAGGCACTCAGCGGGGGCAGGCTCCCTCGTCTCCTGAAGTCACTGTCGAAAAGGCCGTACTCCCCCGCGACGTCGCGATGTTTCTGTTGTTGTTGGTGGTGGTGGTGGCGCTGGTAGTGGTCGACTCCGCCTGCCACGTCCTTGCCTGGCTGGGGGCGAGGTCCAGACGTCCGGCGGGTCGGGGTCAGATCTAACTGTTCCAGGAGGGTAGGCTTCGGGGGGCTGAACCTCGTCCGGGGGGTCGCTGTCATGCTGCGTGGGAGGGTGACTTTCCGGCTGTTGCCGCCGGCTAGGGGCAAGACCTGGCTGGCGGTCATCATCCTGGAGTCGGAGTGGGTTTGTCGCAGGGTTCCAGGACCGGACGCTTTAGCCGGCTCCGGGTACACGGCGGCGGTCGCGGAAGGGTCCTCGGTGGGATTCTGATAGGTGCGACGGCTGGCGCTCCAGAAATTCTGTAGACGCTTGCTCAGGGGTTCGTTGGCCGTCGTGGTTGACGACCTGTAGCGCCGAACATAATCCGCGGCGTCCTCCATCGTGTCGGACCGCTCATCATCCCCAATGACGGAGGTTAACTGGCTCTCGGCATCGTCGGCCGCATCCCCTGAGTCGAAGCCGGCCGACTTCAGGGCGTTGTCGCCAAAGCTCGCGTACCAATTGGCGTCGTGCGAGCGTTGCAGGAGATGGGACTGGGACGGGTGCGGTCGGAATAACTTCGGGTCGGAGGCGGCGGCGTGATGCTGCGCTGTTGATGGTAATTGATACTGAGGGGGAATGTCATCATATCCCAAAACGCTGGTTGCTGCGATGGTCGAGTCATCAATTCCTTCCACGTCGGTGTCGAACATGTCCCTGTGCGCAGCATCTTCAACTGGTGGTGGTTGCGGCTGCTGCGCATAGTGTTCAAATAGGTTGTTGACTTGATTGCCCGGTAGTGGTACCGGCGCAATCAGGTTGGTGGACGGTACTTCAACCCTTGCTTGGGCTGCTAGAGCCTGTCGGGATGAGAGATTTTGGTTCTGATTTGGATCTGGGCTTTGATGATCACTTGTGCGAGATCGCGGTTGGGCGCCGGGTGGTCTGGCATGCACATAGTCTCCCACGCCCATCGTCACTGACAGTGGAGCAAGGCTCAACGGTCGAGAAATCTGAGTCGGGCAGAAGGATCTCTTTGAACGGGGTTATGAAAAGCGTCTTCGGTGAATGCTCGACCTGTGCGCATCACAATAATTACATATGTCGAGAATCAGAATTGTAACATGGTCGTAGCGTCGTGGCAATCATGAGTTTGGGAAAAGTGGTCGAATCAAGTTGGTCAACGCGTTGGATTCTTTTGTCAGGCACACGAGGCAGCCACGGGGTCACGTGGTACCGTACAGTGAAGTGCATCGGAAGGTGTAGCCTGATGGAAGCCTCGATTTATGGATCCGATATCCAGGTTTAATTTATCATATGTTTAGTTATACACCGATTTTATCATTCGAAGTTTTGAGGTGGGGAACTGATTTGATATTGGGGTTTGGATGTAGACCGGTTCGGAAAGATGGAAAGATGTCGTTACATATATTCAGATCACCATGTTTTGCACCAACCAAGTCATACGAATAACATTAACTCCAATAGCCCATCGACTCGTTATCGTCAATGTGGAAGTCATCAAGAGTAGAAGTTACCCCTTTGCCACGCTGCTTGGCTTTGTTGAAGAATTCTTCGGACTTCTGAGTCTCGGACGCACGCTTCTCCATCGCAAGTCTACGTTCGCGTCTATCCTGGATCGAATACTGCATGTTGTCGGACATCGAGTCCTCGTCCTCGTCATCGGTATAGTAGTCGTGCTCGGTCTGTCCTCCAGGCACAGAGGACACAAATAGATCAGCAATCCAGCGTGACACCATTCCCCTCAGCTCTAATAATTCTGGAGAATCCGAATAGGGCGGAGAGCCAAGAATTTCATCCATTCTTCCCGCAATTTTTTGCGCTTGATTGAGCTCCGCTTTTCGCACGTCGGCAATGAGCGCGTTGGCTCTTTCCTTGGAATTACGATGGCCGTCGTGGTCGTAGGCAAGATCTTCATCCTCCGAATGCTGTCCATATTCATCGGTATGACGAGTCCAGATTTTCTGTCGACTGACTTCGCTCTCCTCTTGGGCCACATACACCCAGAGGCCGAACATGGCAGGGTAGAAATGCAATGAGCTGATGGAGTCTGGAGAAGCCTTCCGGTATGGATGCTGGATGATCAGCCTCTCATAATACTTCTTGGCATCCTCAAAGCCCTTCCTTGTGAACATGAGCTGCGGTCCCGACCCTGGTGATTGAGATGGACCGCCGTGGTCGCCGCCATTTTCAGCAGCCATGTCTGCGATTTGACGGCCGCGCCGGAGTAGAATTTCCGCACCAATCCCCCACCTCCCCTCAGTCCGCGCATCGATCGGCCTTCCATTGAATTCCTCTCGGAGAAGTAGTCCCCAAGCTCTTCCCGCGCGGACATAGTCCCTTTGAAGGAGACAGCGGTGCAATATGGATGTCAGCACGGCCAGGTGCTGCAGACGGAGGTTACCCTGGTGAGCAGCAGACTGGGGCGGATAAATGGGAGAAGATAGAGAGGATAGAGTCTCAAGTACCCCTTCCCGCGTCTGTCGGGTGGAAGATTGGGTTTGTGCAGGAGCATGCGGAAACTTGCCGCCTGGCAATTCCTGGTCGAAAGACAAGCCCGCAACGCGGTACTGGTGAGCTTCATCTGGTGATAAAGTCAGAGATGGCGCAGGCAGCGCAACTTCCGAAGCAGCATCGGTGGTTTCTCCTAGGTCGTCATCATCATTGTCACCCCAATCGTCAAGGGTCTTCTTGCGCTTCTTGGCCTCATATTTAGCCACCCGTGCACTCTGAGGTTGCTGCCATGGAGGAAGCGGCAAGGAGAAGAAGGAAGCCGAAGGAACAGATGCCATGAAGATCTGAATTTCCGGAACCTGAGAACCTTATCTGTTCAGTGACAATATATGGCGAAGGCGAATTAAGGTCCCATGGGGAGTGGCCATTTAGAGTGTTTGAATCTGGCTGGAAAATCAGACACCGTACTGCATGCAGACTTTCGGGTCTCCTCCCGATAAGACCTTTGTTTTTTTTTTCTTTTTCAAATCTCCTCTAACCCTGGCACTCTGAGGCGTCAGCAGCTACCTAGGGAAGAAAGAGAGTCCTACTAGGTAGGGAATGTATTATAGATGTGTATGGAAGTGTTTCTGCACGGGTGAGATGACCAATAATGGAGGGCAGATAGTGAGTTATCGGGATGGACCTGATGGAGGATTCAATGCTCAATGTTGTCTCAAGCACGTTACCGACTATCCACACTAAACCTAATCCAGCCAGACAAACCGCCGAAACCGCCATGACGCTAATCCCTTTTTAGCCCTTTCAAGCCCTCCGATCGGGCGTCCCGGACACCTCAACAGAACTGTAGATTACAGTGTACTCCAGAGGCTCGAGTACCTTATGTTCCTTATGTTATCCGTCTCCTCCTACCTACTCACTCACTCCATCTCCGTCGTCCCCCATCATTCCTCTATCCCGTCATCATCGTCATCAGCCTCGACTCTCCCTCCGTCTTCGTGCTTCATCCCTGAGCTGCAAGGCTCACCTCCTCCTTCCATCCCTCACTGTCTCCCCTCTTTCTCTTTCTGCTTTTTTTTTTCTTGCCCTCCTTTCTCTTCTTTGTTTCGCCGCTTGTACATACATACGATCGCACTTTACGCCGATTGTCGTGGGGTCTCCCCCCTCTCCCCCCCCCCCCCCGAAAGTTCCTACGGCGTTAAAACCAACCACAAAAAACCCGCGCCATACACCTCCCCTTCCTGGCTTTTGGAAGGATTGGCAGACACCTGCTGGCAGGCTGATTCTCACATCAATACTTTTGACATTTGGGAACGCCTTTGGGGGAAATTACACTATCTTTGTGAAGTCGCGAACCGCGATTAGCATTTGACTCCCATTGCTGCATTCTGTGCCTAACGATTAGCTGCGACCTGAGCATCGCTTCCTTCCTGCGAACACACACCCTCTTCACCCAACTCAGCCGCCTTGTTCTGGAATACCTCCAAGTGCCTTTTGTAGTCTGCATCGGATGTCATCGGCTTATTGAGACAACCTGTCAAATGGTACGTATCTCCTGGACAGTATCCTCGTGTCGCCCACAAATTGGTACCCATCTGGTGGCGCTATTTTGTGTGCGCTGCCTACATGTTTGTCTTTTCAACCACGGGGCCTTATCCTGACCTCTATCTTCCTTCATCTTCCATGTGGACTCCACTGGTTTGGACTGAATTGCAGCTGTGTATTGTCTGACTAATGCTGGTTTCACCTTTAGTCATCAATTTCTGGATGGCAATAGGCAGCTCATAAACATCCATTGCCACGGCCTACTATCGCCTTGCTGTTACTATGGGACAGTCTTCCTCAACGCAACGAATTCATCGTCACAGCACCCCCTCAGAACGCTTTTTCTCTTTTCACGCGCATCGAAGTCGGCTAGATAGGGATGAAGATATGAATCAAAGGCACAACTCGGATCAAACGGGGGATTTCCAACCCCCATCTGGAATGGAAGCAGACAACAGTGGAATTCAGCATGGACTGACAGGAGCCGAACAGCCTGAGGATCTGCAGCCCATGATGTCTTCACTCGGCGAGCAGCAGCAGATGGGAAGCACGCACGAGGAGGACGGTTCACAGGTAGGACAAAGCCAGCGGGACAGTCGTTCAGCCATATTCGCTCGTATGGCAGCGAGAAGGCAGTCCACCATGTCTCGGCTGGGCTCCAGAATCTTACCCAACTCCGTGATCCGTGGCCTACTAAGCAGCGAAGAGGAAACACCAGCAGAAGGTCACGCTCACCGCCATGGCATCGTTTCAAGATCAGTCCCCAGAACTGAAACTACACACAGCAACAGTCGGTTCAGCCCGTTCAGTGGGATCTCCAGACGACGCTCAGCACGTGGGCCCTACTACATTCCCCGCAGTGACCCCCTTCTTGACCCCTCCAGTCCTGGCGCATATGTCGCCTCGCCAGAAAATGGTTCTGAAGCCGCCAGAAGCCCGTGGAGGCGCAGTGCTCGACTGAACCGCATGCGAAACTCAATTTCGGGCCCCATTACACACATGTTTGGACAGTCATCGAACATTTCAGGCCAGAACCTGGGTCCACCGCCGCAGTTACCCTTGGGATCACTTCCTGGTGAAGATCATGAAGGCCTTCTTCCATACCCAACAGCTATGGATACACGGATGGACTTTGATGAGCCTCATGAACTCGATTCGGTGGAACCGGCGGTGGGAAGTTCCCGGCCAACCTCTCCCATGTCGCAGTCAGCACAGGGTTCTCCCGGGTCACGACAATTTCCGGATTCACTGCGGGTGAGGTCATCACGCATGCTACGCCGGGAGGAACAAACACCCTTATCTCGTGTACTTCAGCTGGCAGCCGCCGCCATTGCTGCCCAACTTTCTGGAACGACTGGGCCTGTTATGCCTAACATTCAATCTCTTGGGAATGATGGCCTGGATGGTTCGCTTGAAAACTTCATACAAAGCTTGCAGCATGCAACATCTGCACAGCAACCTACTACTAACGATGCACCGACTCCCGCAGGGGATACTGCTCCCCAAACCCCAGTCAACTTCTTAAGGGTATTTCGGTTTGCCAACTCGGACAATGCTCGGCCCAGTGGTCCCGCAGATCGCCCAGGTGCGGATGGCGATGATGCAAGCGCCACTGGAACACAGATGGATGTTGACGGTCCTACTGAGGGACCGGAAGGTCGCACTGTCACCTTAGTTGTGGTTGGGGTTCGCTCAGTCCCGTCAGGTAACGGCTCCACCGGGGAACAAGGCAGCAATGCGGCTCCTGGGCTTGATGCACTGCTTCGTCTGCCATTTTTGACACCTGGAAATCTGTCACGGAGCCAGGATAGCAATTCGACTTCGCCATCACGTGGTGAAGGCAGACCCAGATTACCGCAGCTTCGCCTTCGACCCCGCAGCAATGGTTCAAATAGCATGGGTGAGCCGTCTTCTCGGGGCCATTTACACCCCTCACGACGGTTCTCTGATACGGCAAGCCGCGCTCCGCTCACATCAGTCCCTTCTATTCTGTCGGAGAGCCCTCCGGGGCCTAACCCACCCCCATCAACGCCGGCGGAACCGGGACTATCAGCCGTGTCATCCGGCACCTCTACCCCAAGTCGAAGGCCGTCTGCCGCGTCCGCGATTCCTCCGAGCGTCATGCCTCAGCTTGACGAGAATAGGGCATTGCAACCCACGGCTGAGTCGGTCGAAGACGGCATCCCGCCGACAGCAACACGACAACGACGTCGTAGTGACTCCGAGTATGCGCGCCATCGTGAATTAGGATCTGGTGCGGTCAGACGCAACGGCGTGGTAGAACCCGACAACGGCACGCCCCCTACGGGCAGAAGCTGGCTGATTTATGTTGTTGGAACCAATCTGTCGGAAAATCATCCTGCCTTTGCTACTCCGAGCCTGTTCACAGATGTAAGACCGATCATCCGTGTTAGACTTCCATTTATGACTGACAACTCGCAGAATCCAACATATGAAGACATGATTTTGCTCTCATCTCTTCTTGGGCCAGTCAAACCACCTGTTGCTACTCAGGACGATCTCACCTCCGCTGGTGGCATGTTCCGACTTGTCGAATACGGAGGTACACTCATCGCGGAGGCTCTGGAGGGCACTGGTAACATTCATCTACCCGAGGGTGAACGTTGCTTGATCTGCTTAAGTGACTATGAGGTGGCCGATGAGCTTCGGCAACTGAACAAGTGCAAGCATTTGTTCCACCGGGATTGCATAGATCAGGTATGACCTTCCATGATTCTACGGTTTCACTAAGCACATAACTGATATCAAGTTTGTAGTGGTTGACAACTGGCCGTAACTCCTGCCCTTTATGCCGTGGCCAGGGTGTGGCCGAGACCTCTAATGCTGGACCGGCCGCAGAGACGCCGGATGCAACAGCAGCCTGACGACAAGTAGCCGACATTAGCTGCCTCTTTTCCTACTCTGGAGCTACATTTATTGTCCTTAAACTAACCTTGAACTTCTCTTAGCATGAAGCGTCTATACCAAAGCCTGATGAATGACTTTAGTTTACTTTCTCATGATATCCTTCACGGACATCAAGCGTGGCTCTCTCTTCTGTCCTCCCTCAATTTGAATGGCCTTTCTGGTTAAATTCTTACCTTCCGGGATTCCGCAAACACTGGCGGTTACTCATGAATGCAAGGCTGCATATATGTATGCATCCTTGTACAATGCCGCGTCAGCTGTCACGGGTCTCGCAGGCCAAAGGCATGGAGACCCTGTATCGATTTTGTGTGACATATCCCCGGATAATTTTATCCTTGCTCTGCCACGATATTATGCTGTACTATTCCCCACTTTGTTTGATATTTGGATGTTGGCTTGTGAGCTGGAAATGCACCGGTGCATAATACCTATTTTTACTCCTGTCTTTGTTTTTTAAGAATTGTGCGGGGTAGTTGATGAAATGGGACTAGGTATATCAAGCAAATGAAACTTTGTTAATTTCAATTGTATCCTGTCTTGATTTATTGAATGATTGCTTTATTGATTTATGCATATACGCGTATGTCAGCCAAGGCCGTGGACCGGTACAAATGATTGACGATTTCCACTACGAAGGCAGTGAGCCCTTAAGCTTCTATCCCCGTTTCGAGTTATACAGGCTAACCCCTGTCACGTAAGAGATCCCCCCAGCCTTAACCGGGCTGACCAACATCCCTGGGACATGTTAGTGCACAACCTGTACTCGGGTTCCCCTCCCTCCCATCCATGGTTAAAGCTAAGGCCGATTGCCCTCGTCGATCTAAGGCCACAGTCTCACCGGGACTAGCCCGAGGTGTGTAGTTTCAAAGAGACCTCCATCCCAAAGGTACTGTTGATGAGGACCTCTCAAGCATTGATCCATGTTCCGCTAAAGTAGTCCTTGGAACGGCGGAGCGGAGAGACTCGGGGCGCGTCCCGCATCTCCGCCCCTCACGATGACTCAGCCCACCGGACTGTCCACCCACCACCCCCGCGTCTTTGCGATCTCGGCGCTGGAGTTGAGGACGCAGCTAATTCTCAATCGTTGACTTCTTTAAACGTCCTTGTCTATTGTATTTGATTTCGGGAAGTCTGAGGTAGGAAAACATGACCCTCAACGACACAATTATAACTTACTGATTGGGCAATTGAGAGGCAGGATTCAGCGAGAGGGAAAAATTTTAAATACCTACCCCGCCATCCAGGAACAGACGCCGATATCGACCATCCACGCCTCATCTGCCGTTCCTTCAGGACAACGCGACTCCATCAAAAATGGCAGACCCCGTCCGGCTTACCGTTCTCATCTCCGGCAGCGGAACCAACCTTCAGGCTGTCATTGACAAAACCAGCCAGGGTCAACTCTCCACCCAGATTGTCCGAGTTATCTCCAACCGCAAGGATGCCTTTGGCCTCGAGCGGGCTCGCAAGGCCAACATCCCCACGCAATACCACAACCTCGTGAAGTACAAGAAGCAACACCCTGCAACACCGGAGGGGATACTGGCGGCGCGCGAGGAGTACGACGCCGAATTGGCCCGGCTGGTGCTCGCCGACAAGCCGGAGATGGTCGCTTGTCTGGGATTTATGCATGTGCTGTCACCACGGTTCTTGGAGCCGTTAGAAGAAGCCAAGATCAGTATCATCAACTTGCATCCCGCTCTGCCGGGTGCCTTCAATGGCGCGGTAAGTTCTCAACCTCTTCTTTTGGACTTTTCTTTTAGGGTGTATGCGGCTGGATGTGTGGCTGCGAACCGGGGGCCACAGACACGACTGTATCTGACTTCCTCCAAATAGAGTGCCATCGAACGTGCCCATGCGGCTTGGCTGGAAGGGAAGATTGATAAGACGGGTGTCATGATGCACAAGGTGATCTCGGAGGTTGACATGGGCACACCCATTCTTGTGCGCGAGATCCCTTTCATCAAGGGTGAAGATGAGGATCTCCACAAGTTTGAGCAGAAGGTGCACACGATTGAATGGGGAGTGGTGATTGAGGGGGTGCAGATGACCATCCAGGAGATTCAGGGTGAGAGGCAGCGGAGGTGATTTTCTTTGGATCTCGATAATTTACGTTATGATTGTGGTTAAGATACCAAGATACCGAATCTGAATTTTAAAATACATACTCATCAGCTGCACTTTGTAGGAACCAATCCAG